AGAATCCACAAATACTAAAAAGTGCACACCTTGATGTTCTGCTTAACACAAAAGATGTAGAAATATATTAAAAAGTTAAACAAACATAACCTTGAAGTTTGTAATGTATTTGTTAATTTCTTGTGGCCAGTTTGAAATATAAATATAAGTTAACCAGATTTCTAGTTATCAGGTTGAACTTCAAGGGCAGTAACAGTAATCCAAAAAACCAATAAAATGTTTGTTACTTGAAATGGTTCAAACAAAACTCCAAAGCATCATCATAATAATAATAATCCAGTCCTTACTTTCAATATCCTTCTGTGGGTCCCAAAGCTCTTTCTTTGCACCTGAAGGACAGCAAGAAGTTTCGTGTAAGTCTCAACTGCATCCCCTAAACGCCCTTGCGCAATCTGTAATTTACCCTTTGTACGAAGCAACTCTCCTTGGTCCCATTTTCCAGCCTCATCCAAAGCAGTGTCGATTATATTTTCGGCATCAAAATATCTCTTTTGAGCCGACAAAATACGAGCGACAAGAATCCACCCCTTCAAATTAGAACCTCCTTCCACTCTCAACATCTCCTTTGCGTAATGAAGAGCACTCTCTAATTTCCTCTGCTCGGCATTTTCTAAACTAAGCGCAAACAAGACGCTCGATTTTTTTCCTCTAGTCTCACGGTGTGCTTTTTCAAGAGCTTTAAGTGCTTCAGATTGTTTATTTATTCTCTGTGCATCTGAACAAGCACCTCTCGATTGAGCTGAAAGGTTCAGACCTAATAAATAACACGCAGAACTCGTTTTTTCACAACATCTTTCGGGTTCTTGAAGAAATCTGTCAATATATCCTATGCCTTCTTCAAGAAAACAAGAACCCTCAGTACAAATCTTCGAGGTGAGCAATAATTCGAGCGCAGAATTATGATTTTCTCGATTGTTCAGAAAATTACGCAGCAAATTCAGAGCACTCACACTATCCCCCTCTGCATAGTAACACAAAGCTAAAGATGTGTACTTCTCTTTACTTACAACAGCATCCGGAGGCAGATCTTCGATTTGGCGCGCAAGAGATTTGCACTCGCCAGACATTGACAGCGCAAAACAGAGATGGTCCATGATAGATGGGTCCCACTCGATTTTACCGAGGACAACTTTTTGGAGGATGAGAAATAGCAAAAGAATAGCTTCCTCCATGTTGTTTCTGGGTACGAACGAGCTTTCTAATTGCGAACGGAGGTTCGGAGGATTTGCATCATTACCACTGTAAAGAAGGAAAATGGCGAAATCTGTTTCGATTTTTGTTCGGGTTTCAATGTCCAGATTCCAGTGATAGAGCAGCGCCCTACGGTAAGACAGAATTGCTTCTTGAGGTGCATAAGCGCTTTTCCATAGCTCGGGGAGTAGTCCAACTGCTTTGTTTAAGGTCTCGAGCAATTTACAGTCAGAAGCTAAATTTTGGGTCAACCCATCTGGGAGAGCGGATTCAAAAGTGTCGAGTATCACTTTGCAGGATTGAGCAGCTTCTGCAAAATTTAAGGGCATGCAGTCATTAACCATAGCAAGTATGCTATAAATAGTGAGTAAAGTGTTTGTACAACCTTTTGCTTTAGGAAGAAATCAGAAATTTGTAGATTTTGCAACTAAAAAGATATAAAAGTCGATATTGATAATAGAGTGCTCTGTGCATAAGTAGAATGCTCCACATGTCAAGCCTAACATAGAATCAAATAGCTAACTGAAGTTCATATTTAAAAACATCATTAGATAACTATGTTTTCCAAATTCCAAGAGCATTTTTCTTTTAATATTTGCAATCACCCACTAAGAAAAACATGAAACAACACTGAAGGACACAGATATAGTGCATAACCCTGACAAGTAATCATAAGTAGCATTAGAAGTTTGATCAAGAGTACGACAGATATGTTCCAAGCATGTGTTTATGAATTAGAAAAATGAGCAATACTTGGAATACGAAATGAAAATCTCTTTGGTAAATACCTGAATACCTCCCAAGGGTCTGTAGTGATTTTGCTTTGAGAAAAATTGCTTCGACCAGCAAACTTACTGCATGCATGGACATTGGAGCTAAATTATCACTTTGAGAATGACGTCTCGTAAGCTCAGACCTTCTGACTAGAGTTACTTTTATTCTGGGAATCACTGCTGAAATGTCTATTCCTTCAAAAACACGAAGGGCAGCCTCCACATTACCCTTCTGATATTCGAGTCTTCCCAATAAAGCTCTTGCTTCCTGTGTAAGTTAGAAATAAATATTTTCTTCAGTCAATCGCAACAATTATATGCTACGATATTTTCTTCAGTCAATCACAACAATTATATGCTACGATTTTTCTTTCTCGAGGTCCATCCATTGATTAAATTAAAGCCAAGAATCAATATCTTTTTTGCTTCCTAAAAAACAGAGATTGCAGTCACTCTGAAAAGAAAACTTCGAAGAAACAACGGAATAATGTGCATTTAATAAACTGAAACAGATTTTTTGAGACCTGGTATTGAATCCTACGAAATAGTTGAAACCATTAAAAAGCCATTCTTATTTCAAGAGAGAAGTCTCTAAGCAACAGAAAGAAATATCACAACAAATATACTAGCATTGTATCCAAACAAAACACATACTCTCAAACACTTGATTGAGTGTAGCCTGCCAAATTTAAAGCTTCAATACCAGTAAAGAAAAGGGCCAGAAAAAGACCTCATAATTCAAATAGCCACTCTCTCTAAGTGAGGACTCGGCCTCTTCTATGTTGCTTGTGTCGGCTTTATTATCACCAGTGCCTTCTGCTCGAGAAGAGTATCCACTGGCCGAATAGTCCCGAGTTGCCAGAGATTCTGATGAAGGGATTATTTCATCCACTCTCATTTGCTCACCTGAGCAAATGCATTTCATCATCTTGCTCAGTTTTGAAGTCAAGCTCGATTTTTTCCTTTGCAGCCAGTATTTAATGCTCATGCCTTCTCATCACAATCGTTGCATTCCTAAAACACCCCAACATTGCCAAAAAAGAAAGAACAGAAAATTAAAAAATATCAATTCGTGCACAAATTATTAGGCCAAGACATGGAAAACCGAGTAAAACTTAAACTCAGAAAGCCATCGGACATAGCTTTACGAGTAATTCAGTCTTTTTCTTTTTCATTTTAGAAACAGTAGAATGGAAACAATATATCGCCTTTAAGAAAAATGAAACATAAAGAATACTCATTCGTAAGAATCCATCATCAGTCATATCTCATAATTCGAGCAACTGCATAACTCAAATTAAAAGAACTCCTTCAAAAATACCTTCGAGGTTAAATTTCTCAGAAGCTCAAACCCCACATCAATTCACCAACAATGTCATCCCAAAAACAAAAAAACGGTGACATCAACGAATAAAAGAAATTTGAAGCACCAACAGCAGCAGGATAAGTAAATACACTGGAGAGAAATTTTCAATCATCAAGTGGATTTAGCTCGGACACAAACCAAAGGGAAAAGATCAAAAAGGCAAAAGAGAAAGTCAATAAATGCGACTTTTTGACAGGTAAAAAGCCAAGCAGCAAAAAAGAGCCCAATCATGTCATTGGTGAAAAAACAACAAGCAAAGTTAAAATAATCACCAAACACACGCTCAAAAAATAAAAACACAAGAAATAATTGAAGAAAATACCTTTTGCGCCGTGAAAGGCATGACCGGAGCCCACGACACATAAAACCCATCACAGCCCAATTTTCGTCTCCACCATTAAATACCTTTTACTTGATTTTTACAGGTTGAGGCTTAACCAAGAATCCAAAGTTTTTTTAGTAGTGATATTATTGCCTCTCTTTCTAAAAATGGTGTGCATTTCAAAAGTCACGACTTGCTTTGATTTTCTCGTAGTGTGAACTGTGTTAAGGAAAAAGTCAGAAGAAGAAAAGGTGTTAGGTTGGTATTAAATATGATATCTACCATCAACCTGAATCTTCTCTTTCAGAGCAGAAGAGACCTAAATGCTAGGAAAGACTTATTTATAATATAGTTTTTTTAAGGTTTGTTTTACAGCGTGGCAAACGATTTGATTCGAGAATAAGAATTTGTCCAATTAATTTACTAGTTTTTGAACTGAAAGCTGGTGCTTTATTGGGTCACGGGGTTCATGTGAGAGGGTTGCATAATTGTGCAACTCACATCAAGTGCCAAAACCCACTGTAGAATCTATCAGGCTCGTTTACTTTGTGTTATTGGGCTGGATAAGGGCTGTTGTCATTAGTTAACCCATATTAAATTCTTCTTGTGATATCAATATCATGAGCTGGGGCCCAATTTTATCACCCATTTGTGGGACTAATGTATTCGGTCCAATACCATTTATTAAATTGTCCAACCAAAAAGGTTGGACAAATTGTTACAATTGTCCTCAAAATACTATTTAAAGTTATCAAGATATAATCAAATCAATTCATATTTACATTCCAACCACATGTATAATGGCCAAAATTTTTGTTGCCCAAGCAAAGTGAGTGCCCGTCGGCAGCAGGTATGGCTTCCATTCTTTGCGTTAATCTTACTGCAAAGTGAGTGCCCATCGGCAGCAGGTATGGCTTTCATTCTTTGCGATAATCTTACTGCAAAGTGAGTGCCCATCGGCCACAGGTATGGCCTTCCTTCTTTGCGTTAATCTTACTGAAAATCATCGATTGTGCATCATTAATCTCCCTTCTTTGCGTTTATATGTTCAATTTTTGGTCATTTACAGTTGTAGTCACGGTTGGTAGGAAAAATTAATTGAGGAAGTGCGTAAAGATGCAGAGCATTGTGCGAACAGTTCTATCAATCGTGGGTCTGTCGCATTTTAGTCGCAGATAAGCTTTTTACACTTGTTTTTACATTTTTTAAGTTATTCTCAACTACTAACTTTTCGTGTAAGCCTTAGAAAGGTCGTCCTCTCGGAAACGTTGTACCAGAAACACTTGAAGGAGGTTTTCAACATCTTGAATCCTCAAAGTTTCTAAGAATGGAAATCCCCAAAGCAATGAAGCGGAGGATCCTGGGCCGGGCCGAGATCAGCAACCGTAGGAACATGATGAAAACTGATAGGGAGGACGACTTGTATGAAATGGTCGAGCATACGATGATTAAAGACGATAAATGTATTTTGTATTTTTAATTTTAGCTACATACGTTTCTCGTCTTTGATCAGCGTATGCTCGATCAGTTCATACAAGTCATCGTCCCTATCGTTTTACATCAACTTTCTCGGGTTGTTGATCTCGGTCAGGCCCACGATCTTTCGCCTCATTGCTTTGGGAATTTCCATTCTTAGAATCTTTGGGGATTCAAGATGTTGAAAACTTTCTTCACGTGTTTCTGGTACAACGTTCCCGAGAGGACAACATTTCTAAGACTTACACGAAAAGTTGATAATTGGGAAGAAACTGGAAAAACTTAAAAATGTTTAAAATGACTAACTGAGTTATAAAATGAATTTTAATTAATTCATTTGGCCTCCACAATTGGTCTTTAAGTAAGGGGTTTGTCGCTCGCGGGAACCTGGGAGTCTCCTCTTAACGGATGCTGCATTCACGAGCTTACTAGATAAGACTTCTATTCAAACGAGTTAATCTTTAGGTGAAGTGAGTGGCATACGCATGACCCATGAGGTCTCCTCCCTAACGGATAATGTCATTCTTAAGTTTACGGGTAAAGATTATTTTCGAGATATCCGTACGAAATTATTTACACACAATGTGTCTTCCCCAGCGGTAAGCTCATCAATTGTGGATAATTGTCCTTAGGCTTAAATTGTGGTCATCACTTAGATGCGAATTTTAATATGACTCCCCAATGGGGTCCATGTTAATTCACATGGCCAGTGTTAAAGTTCCGACTATTTATTTCATTTGCCATAAGGACAAATTGACGTGCAATTGAAATTAATGATTGTGTGTCTTCTTAGTAGACAAAAATTGTAAATGTCCACCTTAATGTGGCTTGCATATTTGTTCGCTGAGTTGTCGGAGGTTGCATTAAATAATGGTTTTGAAGGTTTTCATATTTTATGCTTCAATTATATATGAATCATTGCTTACGTGTTTGTAATTATTTATTTCAGTTATTCATCATGTCATTCAATCCGCTTATGGTCATTGTCAATCAAAACAAGCTTATCGGTCTAAACTATTTGAACTGAAAGAGGAATCTGGATATTGTCCTTGTTGCATATGAGTACAAGTTTGTGCTCACCACCCCTACTCCTGCTCCTTTGAGCGTCACTTCTACCGAAGAGGAAAAGGAGGCTCATTGGAAGTGGCATAAGGCAGATGAGATGACTCGTTGCTACATCTTGGCATCCATGTCAAATGTTTTGCAACAGCAGCATCACACTATGCCTATTGTTGCTGACATGATGTTGAGCCTAAAGGAACTCTTTGGTGAGCATGATAGGGATGCTCAGTTTGAGGCTATGAGGAATATTATGTCTTCTATCATGCCGAAGGGAGCTTCTATGCGAGAGCATGTTCTCAAAATGATGGAATATCTAAATGAGATAGATGTGCTAGGAGGAAATATCGATGGCGATGCCAAGATTGATATCATTCTGAACTCGCTCCCGAAGTCCTATGAGAACTTCTGCCTGAATGCGATAATGAATAAGAAGGGTTACACTCTGGCTGAGCTTCTTACTGACTTGGTTGCGGCGGAGGGCCTTATGGCCTTATGGCCTTATGCGATCATGAATAAGAAGGGCTATACTCTGTACAAGTTGGAGCTTCTTCGTCGAAAGGCGGGAAGAAGAAAACGCAAGTGCAGAAAAAGAGTAGTAGAACTAGTGGAAGCAGTGGGAGCAAAGCTGTAGCGCCTTCTGGTGGTGTGCATAAGCCGAAAGACAGATGCTTCAAGTGCAACAAGATAGGACACTAGAAGTCCGATTGTCCCCTCAAGGACGTTTCTGGTACGTCTCTTGCTCTAGTTGTCAAAACATGTTTTGCGTCTTGTTCTACCAGTTCTTGGGTAGTAGATACATGAGCCATTGATCATGTTTGTTATACTTTGCAGAGGTTTCCGCAAAGAAGGCAACTGAGTGAGGGCGAGATTACCATCAGCTTGGGAAACGATGCACGAGTGGCGGTGGTTGCAGTGGGAGATGTGCACTTATCATTTTCTGATTCTGTTTTAGTATTAAAGAACGTTTTATACGTGTTGAGTTTTTGGAAGAATTTAATTTCAATTCCGAAGTTGTTTTTGGATGGGTATTCAATTATTTTTAAAGACAATGTTGTAATTAGGGCTGCACATTCGGTCGAAACCGAACTGAACCGACCGAATTTTTGGTTAACCGAAAATTCAGTTTGTCCAGTATAATCGAACCGAAAACTACGGTTCGGTTCGATTTCAAACCAAAAATCCAAGGGTCTTTTCGGTTCAGTTATCAGTTATCCGATAAAATATAAAAATTACAAAAGTAAAATACACAATTCGTAAGTTATCGAATTTCAGCTCAAAGACATAAAATTTATCCAAAATAATAATAATAATAATAATAATAACAAGCTTGAATTGGTTTAATCGAAATTCAACAAATTAGTTCAATCGAAACGAAATAATCACAAATTCAAAAGAAGGCTTCAAAGTCTTGGAAACTTGGAAATCACCAACATGAAGTGCAGTCCGTACAAGGAGATTATGAAGGCGAACTCATCTGAGATTTGAGAAAACGAGGTCGCCGTCGAGTGCCGGTCTGCTGAGGGAGTGGAGTATGTGGAGTACGGGAGCAGTGCGAGCAGCGGATAGTTTCTAGCGTCTTCAAACTTTGGGACTGGGAGTGGGACGGTGCGGCGGTGTCTGTAATCTGTGGGAGAGACTAACAGAGCAAATAAAATGAGTAATAGTATCATATGGGCCTAAACAGATGAGAAGAGTGATTGTGGGCTGGGTGGGATTGCATTTGCCATTTGGGTCGTGGGCTGTGGTGTTGGACTTGGGTATCATTAATTCATTATTCTGGACCTTTTATAACATATATGTACAATATCAGTTTTCGGTTCGGTTCGGTTAACCGATATGTTATATAAAAACTGAACCGAAAACCGAAATATCTAAAAAATATAAACAAAAAACCGAACCAGATTTTCGGTTTCGGTTTCGGTTTCAGTCGATTAACCATATTTTGTGCAGCCCTAGTTGTTATTATGAGAAATAACTCTTTTATCTATTCTGGCATGTTGGTTAACAATCTTTATACTATTACTTGGGCATATCATATTGTGACTGAAGCTCATGCACTTCATCACTAAACAAGAGAAATGAGCCTTCTCAGTCGAATCAAACATATCTTTGGCACCTAAGGTTGGGTCATGTCAATCTAAAGAGGATCCAAAGACAGGTAGGTAATGGCTTCTTGGATTCTTTCCAAGACGAACCATTTCCAGTCTGCGAATCCTGTTTGGAAGGCAAGATGACTTCTAGGCCTTTTAAGGCCAAGGGGAATAGGTCCAATGATGTGTTTGAATTGATTCACTCTGATTTTTGTGGGTCTATGTCTAATAAAGCTAGAGGTGGTTTTGAGTATTTCGTTACTTTTATTTACGATTACTCGAGATATGGATACATTTACTTGATGCGCTGCAAGTCTGAATGCTTTGACAAGTTCAGAGAATTCAAGGCGGAAGCATAGAACCGTCAAGAAAAAAGTCTCAAGTCACTGCGATTCGATCGTGGTGGCGAATACCTTAGTAATGAATTTAGGCAATATTTATTGGAGAATGGGATTACATCCCAACTAACTGCACCTGGTACTCCCCAACAAAATGGCGTAGGAGAGAAAAGGAATAGGACTCTGTTGGAAATGGTGAGATCGATGATGAGGTATGCTTCATTACCTACCTCGTTTTAGGGATACGCTTTGGAAACGGTGGTGTACCTTATTAACTTTATGCCCTTTTCAATCGGTTATGAAAACACCAATAGAACTGTGGTCTGGGCGCAAG